TGGGGTGGCCAACAGCCCACGCCCCGAGCGCCCATATGGCACCGGCGTGCAGCCTTTATTGGCAGCCCGAACCGCCCAGCCCTTGCTTATCTGCGCTGTTTCCTCCTCTGCGTTTGAAGAGTGGGCCTATGACATAGCCTGGCTCTTGCGTGAGCTCTGTCTAAACACATGAACAGGGCCCACTAATGGAAGCTAGCCTTCTCCGAATAATCGGGTGACACGTGACATGTACCCGGGCTACCTGATTTCAACTCAAAAGATGCCCCAACGATCCGCACTTACTTACCCCTTGAGATTCTTGAGATGATTCTGGGCTTCAGTAAGCAAGGCTACTGTTCTATCACTTTTGCTAAAAAAGTTGCTTATGTTCCATTGAAATCCCTCTGTTTTGTCTTCCTTCTAGTCATCCCCCTGCTAAACACCCAGAGGTGACAGGTCGCTTCACAGACACTTAGTGTGACTGCTGTTTGTTCAGTGCTCTTCTAAGTAGCCTCCCAGGGGGCACAGATTCAGTTCTAGTCCCTATTCCCTGTGCCCTCAATATAATTACCTCTTGCGTTTACTTTCAGGGGTAGTGACGACTGAAGTAAAGGTTAAATTACTCCCAGGCTTTGTATTTGATTTTTGAGTTGTTGACCTTTGTTATGAACCAGGACACTTTGGGGTTTGTGGGGTCTTCTGTTTTGTTTTGCCAGCATCAAAAAGGAAGTAATTAATTCCCTGATTCCATGTACTGGCCACTCTTGGGAGAATGATTCAGTCTTCAGACTCCAGGAGTTTACTGGCATGTCTGCTTGCAGATGGTGCTGTACTAGAGAAATTGGAGTATTGTGTTTCTAGATTGTGTTATTTTGTATTGTTAAGCTGTTGTGTCATTTTGATGGGGTAGAGTGGTAGAAAAAGGCACGACTAGAAACCATACTTTTCTCAGAATGTTCTCTTGATTAAATATCTTATGCCATTTTGATTAGTGAGTTTTAACCATGCCACAGACTTTATTTGAAAATTTTGCCTTCAGATAAAACTACTAAATGTTACCATTTTTCAAACACTGATGAAACTATCAGTAAGGAAAAGACAATTCTCAAATAATTTATACGACGCATTTTTCCCTGAAGTACTTTTCCTGTTGTTTACAGTGTTAAGCGGTTAAGGCCACGTCACCTATAACGCAGGCTGGCTTTCAGGGAGTGCTTTGTATTAATTGTTGAGTGGTGGACAAGTGTCCCAGCTCCCTTACACCCATTGTTTCTAATACAAACAAGTAGTCCCATAGTAGGAGGTAGCTCAACTTAATCAAGTTAAAGTTGTAGTGTCAGGTAACTATCTTCAAATAAAATCTGGTGCATCTTTCACTGGAATTTTCTAGAGAGGCTTTGATAATCTAGTTTACCATCAGAGCATACTAGTAATCCAAAAGTTTGTTTCCCATATGTAAGCCTCTGAGGTTAACGAGAGAGGGGATCACAGGAATGTGAACAATCATGAGAGAAAATGAAACCACTCTGTTTTATAAAAGGCAGTTTAGCAAAAAGTAACTCCAAATATGACCTTCTCAAATGTTTTAGGTAGTAGGGAAGATGCTTCCTTTGATTTGTATACTTCACAAGAAAAGATAGCATCAAATTTGTTCCAAATAGAATACAAGCCAATTGTGTTCTCGTTTACTGTCTATTTTTAAATTATCCTTTTTGGACACATTTCACTGAAATATTTTAAGGTAAAACATGTATAAACTCTGTTAGTATGTGAAATTGTATGTTCAAGTGCTTAATAACATTTTGAGGTTGTGTATGGGGCGGGGAGGAGGTGGTAGTCCTGCTGTGGTCACCTTGTGTTGAAGCTTGAAATTCCTTTTATAATTTTTTTTTTTAATTCTCACCCGAGGATATTTTTCCATTGATTTTAGAGAGGGGAAGAAATATCGATGTCAGAGAAACACATCGATTGGTTGCTTCCTGCACGTGACCAGAGCCTGCAACCAGGGTATGTGCCCTTGACTGGAATTGAACCTAGGACCCTTTGGTCCGCAGGCCCGACACTCTGTCCACTGAGTCAAACCAGCTAGGGCTATACTTTTTATATATATTATTGATTTCAAAGAGGGAGAAAGAGATAGAAACATCAATGATGAGAAAATACATTGATCGGCTGCCTCCTTCGTGCCCCCCCCCCTACTGGGGATCGAGCCCACAATCCGGGTAGGTTGCCCTGACCGGGAATCCAACATGATTCATATGTCAACACTCAAAACACTCAACCACTGAGCCTCGCTGGTGTTAACTTTTTTTTTAATCATTCATTGTTCTGTACAAGAGAATAACCAGAGTTTGCATTTGTGGTTATCACTTTCAGTGCTGAATGTTACTAAATGTCCATGTAGAATATACTCATCCATACTTACCCTCATCACTCCAGAAAGAAACTGTGCCCATTAGCAGTCACTCCTTATCTTCCCTTCCCCTCAGCCCCTGGCATCCACTAATCTACTTTCTGTTTCTATGAATTTACCTTTTTATTACCAAATAATATTCCATTGTTTGGATATAACCCATTTTATTTCTACATTCATCAACTGATGAACATGTAAGTTGTTTCTACATTTTGACTATTATGAATAATGCTGTTATGAACATTCCTGTACAAATTTTTGTGTTAATTGTATGAAGTGTATGTTTTCATTTATCTTGGGTATATTTCTGGGAGTGGAATTGCTGGGACATAGAGTAACTTTATGTTTAACATTTTGAGGAACTGTCAAATTGTTTTCCAAAGTAGCTGTGCCATTTTTATATTCCCATCAACAATTGACATTGCTTTCAGTTTCTCCACATCCTTACTAGTCACCAACACTTGTTATTGTCTGTCTTTTTTATTCTAGCCATCTTTATGGGAACAGTGGTATCATACATGATTTGCAAATAATTTTCATTCTGTGGGTGGAAACTCTTTGCTTCCTTTGAAGCTTTATCCAGGGCCGTGTGGACTTAATACTGCGTTTTCTCCTCAGTGTTTTATATTTTAGCTCTTACATTTAAGTTTATGATATATTCAGAGTTAATTTTTGCATATGATAGGAAATAGAGGTACAACTTCATTCTTTTACATGTGGGCATCAAGTTGTCCCAACCCCCCCTTTTTTCTCAGCCCCCCTTTTTTTAAAGACTATTCTTCCCTCTATGAATTGTCTTGACATCCTTGTCAAAAACTGAGTGACCAGAAATGTGAGGGAAAATTTATTTCTGGACTCTATTCCTATGATCTATATGTATGTCCATATGTCAGTATCACACTGTCTTGATGACTGTAGTTTTGTGGTAAGTTTCAAAATAGGGATGAGTGAGTCTTCTAACTTTATTCTTTTTCAAGATTGTTTTGGCTCTTCTGAGTCCCTTGCATTTCCATCAGTTTCTACAAAAAAAAAAAAAACAAACAACTGGGGTTTTGATAGGGTGTTTGAAGGGAGTCCAGCCTGCACAGCTACATAGTTGGGAAAGGGGGGTGTATTTAATAGCTTTCTCAGATAATTGTGGATATTCTTTGATGCCCACCGAAACTTCACAGGTGGTAGTTTCTTAAAGGTTAGTTGTAGTGTGCAATATGAAGTCATATGGATGAAGTTTCTGCCTTGTTACATTGGACTCTATTGGGTTGTTTTGCACTTTGAATGGGTCTTCTGCCCATACCTGATTTTGTTACATCATACATTGGTTATTTGGAAAATATTGGTCCACTGTTTTGTAGATCCTTCTACATTTTGATACATTTCAATATGTAAATACTTTTAAAAGTCACATTTAATATCATCACCAGCGTCAGAAAAATCTAGATACTGGGAAGCTGTTAAGCTCACCTTGAATGATGCAAGTTTTCCAACCTAATTTCCTCTTGAAAGTTTGAATTTAATTGTTGGAAAAGTGCTAGCAGTTTTACTTGGAATGACAGTCTCATTTCTTTCATTTTCAAGAAAATGTCTGCCAAATACCCACATTTGAAATAATGATCGTTTGTTGGTCAGTCTTGAAAGGAAAAATGGTGGTCCATGATTAAAGTGGCTATTTCAGATCACTTCGCAACCAATTGCCTCGTTTGGAGACAACCATCACACTTCAGTACGCAGCAGGATGCTCTGTGCATATATCATGTTTTGTCATGCAGAATACTAAAAGGACATGCTCTTAAGGGTCAAGATTTAATAAAAGTAATAATTTTACTGCTTCCTCAAGAACACTGTTAAGTGAAAATTGCTTCTTTTTTTTTTTTTTTTTAATGTTGGTACATGGTAGTGAAGAATATGGTGACTTTCTACAGCTTGCTCCCACTGTCCTGATTTGTGCTGAGTGGTACCAAGCTAGTGGTATTACCCACCATTGGTTTTGCACCATTACTGCAAATATGAAAATAGTTAAAAAGGCAGATAATATCTTAGCATTTTTATGAAAGTGGCTTTGACCTCATGAGTCCCTTGAAAAGGTCTCCAGGCTGCACTTTGAGAACCATTACACTGTGGTGTACAGAATCTTGCTGGACTGCTCACTGTTGTGCAGAGTCAAATCAAGACCAGCTGCATCCTAGCTGCTGTGGTGACTGCTGAGGAGCCTTCCCAGGAGGCCCTGCAGCATCCTGAGGCAGGGATGGGGCATGAGAGACAAGGATGGAGGGGGCAGGAAGAACTTGGCCTGCCTGCGTGGGACAGAAGGAAGCGGGGTGGCTCGAGCATAATGAGGTGGGAGTAGGAAATTAAGTTGGAAAGGTAGTCAGTAGCTGGATTTTGCAGGGCCTGGCAGGAACATTAGGGAGTCATTCCTTCTGAGCAGTAAGCAGGAGTTGCTAAAGCCTGAGAAGAGTGAGGGTATCTCAGTACCAATTGACTTGGCCTCTGTGGTGCAATTTGGGGTGTGTTGTTCTTTGACCTGGTAGGGATGAGGCTCCCCCAAAATAATAAAAATCACCAAGGGTAGCAGCATACCCAAGACCTGTATACTAAATACTGAACTGACATGGTTCAAATACAGGTAACAGAGTAGAAGTAAAAACAGCCACTTTATCACAAATGAGAAACGGCCATCTCTACCTGTGATTATGAAGTTAAAATGTACACCACTTTCCTTAGTGTAGGTCTACAATATTAGTGATTTGAATATTGTTCATGAGTAGATTGTACTTAGTTATTGGGCTAAACCAAAACTGAACTTGGACATGATTGTACAAGTTAAAGCATTATGAAGTCTTTAGTGATCACACTTAAGAGAACCTTTATTCTTGTTTCTAGTTTATCCTGAAGTACCAAATTAAGTCTTAACAGTTGCTAGAGAAATCACTGTCTTAAACCGATAAACTTAATATCTCAAAACATAGAGGTCCTGGAATACTACTTTATTTTATTTTTTGTGTGGAATGCTATCTTAGTATTTTAATATTTCTAAATGTATATTGTTGAGGATCCTTGTGTAGGGCTTTGTGGACAAGTGGAAGTAGGCAATTTAAGGATCTCAACAGTTCACTCCTCCCTGTCCTTGGCTGGTGGTGTAACTGTAATATAATTGAGTTCCCTTACTCCCACCACCCTTCCCCCATTTCTCTTGTGCTTACTTACTTGAAGAAAGCCTGAGGTGGAGGTGGAATTTTGAAACAAATTGGTGTTTTAACAATATGTGTGATCCTACTTTTTGCAAGATTAAAAGTAACTGTGATGGCAGGGTAAATAATTTGTGAGCATGGAAACAAAGATACTGGCTTTTACAGTTAATATCGTTTTCTGAAATGGAAATGCTTTTGTAACACTTGTATGTCTTAGGTATAAATGCATCTGGCTGATCACTTGCTTTTCTTCAAGTCTCAATCACATTTGGAATTTATTTTAAAGAGAATATTTTAAAATATAGGTTCTCTTTATTCTTGTTCATGACTTGTATGAGTTACTGAATAAAACATACGGCGAAATTCAACCATGGCTGAACATCCAGAAGGAGAGGATTCGGAATGACCTTGGCAAACTGGAGACATGCCCTGGCGTGAGCGGAAGTGGAACACACTATGGACTTTCTGGTCTGTCTGCCGGGAAGTGACTAGATGTGGATGGTGAATTTCTGACCTGGTTTGTGTGGCCTGGAGTACACCAGGGGCCAGGAGTGGCTGACAACATCTCTGAGCTCCATACTGGAGGGCAGGAGGACCACAAAAATGCAAGCCCTGAAATTAAAGCCTTATGTTTACGTTCCAGAAGAAACCTCCTGTGTGTGTACAGGCTGAGATCCGGATTCCGTTTGTGAGCATTTTAGCTGGCCGTGCTCTCTGTGCATTCTGAACCACTAGGAGCCTTCTCTGCAGTCTGGGTGGCATGTGTTGAAGAGCAGTGCCAGCTTAGAGTCATGGTTCTTCACTTGACGTTCATGAGCTTCCCTGAGATGTGCATATTTCCAGGGGAAGAGTCAAGGGCTTTTATCATCCATCTTCTATCCAGAGGATTTCAGTCCCCAAAAGATTGAATTTCTAAAATGACTTGTTTGAAGAGAACAGTGATTTAAGTGTCACATGTAATTCAAATAGGTGTTCATCACTGTACCAGGCCCCGTGTACTTAGTCACAAAAGCTAAGGCCATCCTGATCTCTGCCTTCAAGGAGCCTCAATCTAGTGAGGAACCACTGTAAACAGTTTCTACTAATGATATTGGCGGGTGTTTTAAAAGTATTTACTGAACTCTATGAGGTAAGTACCATTATTATGCCTATTTTGCAGAGCAGGAAACTGAGCTGCAGAAAGGTTAAGTGATTTGGCCTAGGTCAGTTATTAGTGGCAGAGCTAGGATTTGAATTTAAGCAGTGGTTCCAGAGCCAACACTAAATAATAACACAAATTACTATTTAAAAACATTTGGGATAAATGCTTAGAGAAATAATTCAAGGGAGAGCTAACATAACCATGGGTGGGGCGGAAGAATTGTCCCTAGCAAGCTGTCATTAAAGCTGGAGTTGGTCGGGCAGAGGGTGGGGAGCATGGGGGCAGGAGAAGGGCAGGGCCTTCCAGTGGAAAGGAACAGCATGTGCAGACCTCCTGGGGTGAGAAAGAGCTTGGCACTCAGGAGGAATAAAGAGAAGGCCGGTGTCGACTGGTGAATGAGGAGAAGAGTAAGATGTGAGTGGCAAGGAGATCACGTGGAACTAATCTGAATGCCAACTGTCTACCAAGAACAGCCTTGTAGGCCCTGTTGGAAATGTTAGACTTCCTAGAAACGCGGAAAGTCACTGAAGGGTTGTAAGCAGCATAAGGTGATTTGTCTATACCAGGCTTGGCAAACATTTTCTGTAAAAGGCCAGATGGAAAATTTATGTCAGACTTTGTAGGCCACATGGCCTCTTTCGCAACTACTCCCTTCTACCTTTTGTAGCACACAGCAGTTACAGACAGTATATAAACAAATAGACGTGGCTGTGTGCCAATAAAACTTTATTTATGGACGCTGACATTTGAATTTCATCTAATTTTTACTTAGTATGACATATTATTGATTCTTTTCAGCTACTTAAAGATGTAAAAACCAGCCCTGGATGGTGTGTTCAGTGGTTAGAGTGTAAGCCCGTGCCAGAAGGTTGCGGGTTGGATTCCAGGTCAAGGGCACATACCTGGTTTACTGATTCCCTCTCTGCCCCCATCAGGGTGTGTCCTGGAGGCGACCAGTCAATGTGTCTTGAGACGTCAATGTGTCTTGAGACGTCAATGTGTCTTGAGACATCAATGTGGTGGTTGTTTTTTTCTCTCTCTCCTCTTCCCTCCCTCCTTTCCACTCTCTGAAAAGCAATAGAAAAAATATCCTCAAATGAGGATTAACACAATAAAAATAAAAAATGTAAAAACCATTCTTATTCATAGCTCGTAGGCTGAGCAAATTTGGCCCCTGGTCGGTAGTTTGCTTCTCCTGTTTTATATCCTCAAGAGGATCCCTCCCACTGCTCTGTGTGGGGGATGAGGGCAGTCAGGAGTGGAAGTGGGAAGACAGCCACGTATTGAAGTTCACCATCAAGGTCTCACGGACAGCCCAGCAGTGTGGCTCAGTGTTTGAGCATGGACCTATGAACCAGGATGCCACTTTTCGATTTCTGGTCAGGGCATGTGCCCAAGTTGTGGGCTCAATCCCCAGTGTGGAGTGTGCAAGAGGCAGCCAATCAATGATTCTCATTATTGATGTTTCTGTCTTTCCCACTCCCCTCCTCTCGGAAATCAATAAAAAAATATATTTTTTAAAGATGACATGGACTAGTGGAGTGCTGGTGAGATGAAGAGGAGACAGATTTGAGATGCTCTTGAATATGTTAAAGATTGTTAATTAGAGAAAGAATCAAACTTTGATGTGTGCAACGTTGAGGATAACATTCGGTGGTTAGCATGAGTGCCTGAGTGGGTAATGGTGCCACTGGCTAAAATGAGAAATGGTAGAAAGGGGCCAGGATTTGCGATGGTCTACCCACCAGTCCACACATTTGCCTTGTCATTTCGATGGTCTAGAGCAGTGATGGCGAACCTATGACACGCCTGTCAGAGGTGACACGCGAACTCATTTTTTTGGTTGATTTTTCTTTGTTAAATGGCATTTAAATATATAAAATAAATATCAAAAATATAAATCTTTGTTTTACTATGGTTGCAAATATCAACAAATTTCTATATGTGACACGGCACCAGAGTTAAGTTAGGGTTTTTCAAAATGCTGACACACCGAGCTCAAAAGGTTCGCCATCACTGGTCTAGAGCTGTGGTCGGCAAACTGCGGCTGGCGAGCCACATGCGGCTCTTTGGCCCCTTGAGTGTGGCTCTTCCTAAGCCTTAGGAGTACCCTAATTAAGTTAATAACAATGTACCTACCTATATAGTTTAAGTTTAAAAAATTTGGCTCTCAAAAGAAACTTCAATCGTTGTACTGTTGATATTTGGCTCTGTTGATTAATGAGTTTGCCGACCACTGGTCTAGAGACAGGTGGCTGCTCTTGCAACTGGGGTTCTGGGGTGTGCTGCTCCCGGGTCCTCATGTTGCCTGAGGATCTGCCCCAACATACCTTCATACTGCAGGGTTGTTGCCTTGGCAGCAAAGGAGATTGCAAAACCTACTTGGCCGCACACTGCTCACTGTGCCCGAGAGGGTGCTGAGGAATCCTGACGAACTACAGGATATTTCCATTTTCCTGCTGGGAGAAGGGGAAGTTGGGCTCCATGTCTAAACCTTTTCATGTTCCATAACTGCTACCAAAAGGTGTGAATATATTTAATGAAATAAGTTGTTTTCTTACTCTGACCATGTTTCTGAATGAGCATTATCCTAAAAAATTGGACAAAATGAACACATCTTCTATTTCTTAGACCTCTGGGAGTCTTTCTCGTAGACAGCTGTGTTTATACAAGTAGGATGTTCCTATTCCTTCAACTATGGTATTGAGCAGCATTGTAAGTTTTCTAGTAGTCACATTAAACAAGTAAAAAGAAAGAGGTGAAAATAATTTAATATAATTTAGTCCAATATGTCCAAAATATTATTTCAATATGTAATGATATTTTTACATTTTTTATGCTAAGTTTTCAAGTCTTATATACATTTTACGCTATGACCCATCTCAGTTAGGACTGGCCCCCTTTCAAGTGTTCACTGTCCACCTGTGGCTGGTGGCTGCTCGCTGGTGGACAGCACAGGTACAGTGAGGAATGCCAGGGCTGTTAGTAAATGGGCTTAGTGCAGATTTGAAAGAACTCTTGAAATAATCTTTATAACTATTTGTGCTGATGGTGAATACGCTTTATTTTATCACTTGATTGTCCTAATTTTTTGTCATTACTAGTTTTGATCAGTCTTAACCCTTTGCACTCCGAACCATTCTGGACATTGGCTACCAGCTACTCGACGCTACTTTGCGGCGGAAACGTGCATTTACAGACCCTCGTATTATTTAGTATAATTTTGGAACCAAGTAACGTATTATAATGATATTGGACTTATATGAATTGGGTGACATCGAGGAATGTATATTTGCAAAAAAAAACAATATTTTATTGTTTATAATTTTGTACAGTATGATAAGTTTTGTAACACTCCCCAATATGCATTGCAGGTTGATTAGTGCATGTTTGACAGTAATAAGTGGTTTGACGCCTGCCACCAGGTGTTTTCCTGTTAGAACACACAATGCAGTCCCGTTTTCTTTGTCCCACATCGGGAATATGTAGTTTGTTGTTTAATCCGACACAAAACCCGCTGACATTTCTTGTATATATCTTAGTAATTTTACGATATTTTGATTTAATTTCTTGTGCCATTTCAAGATAAAACTTCAGGGAAACATGCATGTCTCAAAAAGTTGGGTTGAAATAACCCAATTCCCCGTAATCACTAATAAACTGCAATGTCCCCTGAGAGGGGACATCCGAGTGATATGCTAGAATTCCGATGTCCCCTGAGAGGGGACAGCGGAGTGCAAAGGGTTAAACTTCGTGCTCTTGAATATGCTAAAGATTGTGTTAAAATTTGAGGATTCATCTCTTATTTGCTTTTTTCAGCTCTTTCCCACCCTGACCCCCAACCTTCTTCCCAGTTGCTCACAAATCTAGCAAAAATCATTCTTTATTGTTGCCAAATATTTAATTTCCTGCAGTTTACCAAGTCTCTTCCCTCCCTTGCCTTCCAAATCGGCTTCATCTCCAACTCTTCCTATAGAGATGAGTATCCTATTTTTTTAAGTTTTTCTTTAATATGTTTTTATTGACTTCAGAGAGAGGGGAAGGGAGAAGATAGATAGAAACATCCATACGAAAGAAAACACCCTCTACTGGGGATTGAGCCTGGCAACTGGGGCATGTGCCCTGACTGGTAATCGAACCCTTGACCTCCTGGTTCATGGGTTAAGGCTCAACTGCTGAGCCACAGTGGCCCAGCATGAGTATCCTATTTAATCATCTTTGGGCAGTTTCATGGCCTTTCCTGGCAGCACTTTTTTTCCTTTTTATTTATTTATTTATCCTCACCCAAGGATATTTTTCCATTGGTTTTTAGAGAGAGTGGAAGAGA